TTCTGTAAAATGACAATAACATTGATGACCAGCCACACTCTGTCTTGTTACAACAGAAAACTCAACCTAAATGAGCTGAAACTCCCATTATGTTGACAGTGTATATGGAATGGTTTCTCAATATTTCTATGAAATAGCTCATCTCGTGGCTATATATTTAATTCCTCTTTGAGAGAACTGTTTTTATTTTTCATTTGCATATTTACATGTGTGTGGCAAATATATGTACACATATGTGTGGTGATATTGTGTTCCCCAAAATATTGTGCACACTAATAAACTTATCTGGAGTCAGAGAACAGAACAGCCACTAGATATAGCAATCTAGAGTCCATGTAGAGTCCAGAAAATGGTGGCACACACTCCTTTAATCCTATCACTCGCAAGGCAGACAGATCTCTGTGAGTTTAAAGCCACACTGGAAACAGCCCCAGGCATGGTGACTCACACCGTTAAACCCTGGAAGTGAGGCTTTAATCCCAGGAAGTGATGGCAGAAAGCAGAAAGGTATTTAAGGCTTGAGATCCAGGGACTAGAGCTGATTAAGCTTTTCGGCACTTAGTTCAGTTCAGCTGAGATTCAGTTGGATGAGGACTCAGAAGCTTCCAGTGTGAGGAAACAGGATCAGCTGAGGAACTGGCCAGGTGAGGTGGCTGTGACTTGTTCTGCTTCTCTGATCTTCCAGCATTCACCTCAATACCTGGCTTCCAGGTTTGTTTTTATTAATAAGAACTTTTAAGATTCATGCTACACATATGTATGTAGATATGTACACATGTATGTACAAGTGTATATGAAGTCTATGTTAATGCTAGAAAGTTACTTGAAGTATCTTTCTCAAGAGTTAGTTCTGCACCTTATTTTTTGAGACAGCCTCTCACTGAACCTGGAGCTCATCAATGAAGCTGGGCAGGCTGCCCAGTGCACTCCAGAAATCCACTCCTCTCTTTATCCCCCAGTACTAAGCTTACAGGCATGAAATTTTATGTTGGGTTTCTATGTGGGTGCCGGGGATCTGAACTTGGGTCTTCATGCTTTTATACCAGGCATTTTATTTACCAAATGAGCATCTCTCCATTCCCTGAGGGAAACAGAATTATAATACAGGATTTCAGAACCACAGTCTGAGTATCAGCTGAGTGGTCTTAGAAGAGCCAATCTCTCTACACCTCCTCAACCACTGTAAATCAGAATATAGATGACTATACCTCACAGGGTCTCTGTTAGATCGAATAGATTATTTTATTACTTAAATTATTATTATGTATTTTTATGTGAATGTGTATTATGCCTACATGTGTATCAGTGCACCATGTGTGCCTGTGTTCTCAAGGGCCAGAAGAGGACTTTAGATTCCTCAGAACTGTAGCTACCCATGGTTGTGAGCTGTCATGTGGGTGATAGTAATGGAACCTGATTCCATTCAAGGAGTTTTCAGGTTTCAGATTTTTTTTTTTTTGTATTTAGTGATGTTCAACTTCAGCATGCTCAACAAAAACCAACAACAACAAAATTTCCAATCTCAAGATCAAAACTGAAAAGATTAAGATCGTGCAAGCCCCTGACAGGGAAGGAAATGAACACTTTGCTGATATCTCTGGCCATCTGGGAGAACAATGGAGCAACACATGTTACAGCCTTAAGGCTTCACCTTCTTTTCACAAATGTATCTGCCAGCAATGCACACACATGGGCATAAATCGACATTCAGTAGCTCACTGTTGGTAATGGCCCACACTGTCACCCACACACAAGCGGTTCACTATGTCACTGTACATCTATACTCAGGACTATCAGATGATGGCTAATACTGAAGAGTGCAGAACATACACATCACCCTATATAAAAAGAACCTATTGCTGGAGAGATGGCTCAGAGGATAAGAGCCCTGACTGCTCTTCCAGAGGTCCTGAGTTCAATTCCCAGCAACCACATGGTGGTTCACAACCATCTGTAATGAGGTCTGGTGCCCTCTTCTGGCCTGCAATCATATATGCTGTATACATAATAAATAAATAAATCTTGAAAAAAATGCAATTCTCAATAATTGCTTAAAAAAAAAAGAACCTATTTCTGGAAAGGTTCAGAGGTAGAGAATGGCTCTTGCTTAAATATTCTCTACAATAAGAATATGCTCACATGTCGTTCCAAAGCATGTAACCAAATACAAAATCACATTAGTGGGCAAGGGAGTAAGATGAATTCTTAGCCTACTGTCTCGAGTACCACATGATACTTACTTCTAAAAGATCACAAGTCTTTTCTCCAAAGAGTTTATTAGCTGTTTTGAGCAAGTACTGTGTTCCGGTCTTGTTCACTTCACTGAAAAGTGACTGGAAGCCCTGGTGGACATCTCCACCTCCACTGCTGCTGCATTTATCCAAAGAAAGAGCCTGAAACCAAAACAGATTCAAACACAACTTCAGCAAGCCCAACTATACGAAATGAGTCAACACTCAACTCATCCTCAAAATCTTATAGATCCTTGCTGCCATGCAAAGAGCCACTCAGTTAAAGATGAAAGTACCTTGACTGCTGCCTCTCTAGGGGCCTGCCCTGTTCCCTGTCAGCCCTGAACAGAAATGGCCCTTCACAAGCCCAGCTCTTCACGTTCACTAATTGTGCTCTGGCCTCAAGCATGGCTGCCAAGCAGACCTGCCATGACTCCAGTGCAGCCAGTTCTGACCTCAGACCATGCTGTCTCTTCCCTGCTCTTGGGTCTGGATGGCTCCAGTGTGTCTGCCCAACAGAATGGAGGAGAGTGACCCTGTTCCAGGCTGGGCTTTAAAAGGCCTGGCAGCTGCCACATTTGTTCCCAGACATCATGGTGGTAGGAAATCCAAGCCATCCTCCAGGAGGCCACATGGAAAATCCTGGAGTAACTGCCACTACATAAACTGTGGGTGGCCAACTGGGAGACCTGCAGCTCCCACACTTTACTCCAGGGTACTCTTGAGGCATGAGGGATCAGAGATTTAGATAGAAGGATAGAGGCGAGAGAAAGACATAGCAACACAGGATAGCCTCAGGAAGGCCTGGACCCTTATCCACTGTCCCATCTTGCTTATTCTAACAGGTATTTATAGAAATGCCAAGGGGCGGAGCAAAGAGCTTCCCCTAGCACAGCCAAGTGTAGACCCTTCCAATCACCTAGAAACCATGCACAAGTTCAAGCAATCCTCTAATTCAGCTTCTATGGGTAAAGCAAGCTCAGGTCTCACTAGGAAACCCTGTGGCCCTCACAATAAAGCTGCTTGAAAGAGATGCAAGACCCCAGCCAACAGTGAATACCTAGATACCAGACTTCAGATACAGTTCTGCACACCATTCAAGCCTTTGAAAAATCTACACAAATGACTTCAGCTGCTTCCATAAGAAACAGATGAACAGCCTATCATTAGCTGTAATAGCTTTGAACTGAGAGAGAGAGAGAGAAAGAGAGAGAGAGAGAGAGAGAGAGAGAGAGAGAGAGAGAGAGAGAGAGAGAGAGTTAGTTTAAATTGAAGGCAAGCCTCTACGCCCTAACTCTCTTTAGGCAGGAGGCAGGCTGAGACAGCAACAACCACAGTATGTCTTGTAAAAACGGAAACATGTTGCCAAGACTTAACCCAGAATGCAGTCATTGCCCAAGATAGTCTCCCCTCTTATTCCGGGACAGCCTGTCTCCGCAGTTCATACACCTCTGTAGCTAAAGCACTACGTCCAAGAAGAGCCCTAATGGATACGTCCCTGATCTTCCAGCCAAGGCTGAAACCGTTCCAGTGTTCCTTACTGGTGAAATAGCTGAGATTGTTTAAGGGACCCTGGTATCATCCCTTCAGTTGTTTTTTTTTCAAGACAGGGTTTCTCTGCGTTGCTTTGCACCTTTCTTGGACCTCATTCTGTAGCCCAGGCAGGCCTCGAACAAAAAGAAATCCTCCTGCCTCTGCCTGCTGTGTGCTGGGATTAAAGGTGTGGGCCACTACTACCCAGCCCCTTAGGTGTTTTTACTCTCACATACACACTGCGATCACCAATGAGTCAGTGATAGGGTCCTAACAGATAGAGTGCATCCTTCCTCTCAACTCTCCAACCATACCCCTCTGTCATTTCATTCCCATTTGTACCTCCAGATGAATTATTTTTTGAGACTGAGAACATGGAGGACCAGCTCAACTGACAGTCCATGGTGTTTATCTGCTGTGAAATGGTGCTGGTTACCTGAATCATCTGGCTTGCAGTGTCTCCCTTTGCCCCCATGAAGACCATGGCCAGGGCCGAGGAGATGCTCATGGGTGAGAAAAATACATTTTTTGAGCTGTCTTCTCCCAGTATTTTCAAAAGGTTTAAGGCAAAGGTGCCATTTGCTTCCCGCAGAGAATCCATGATAGCGAGTCTGGAACGAGGGATTAAATCAGTATCACATGAATACAGGCTGATGTGTAGGCCTGGTCTTCACTCTCACTCACACAGTGATGCTGGGGCTCAGTGAACACAGGGAAAACACAGCCTGGAAAGTAAAGGTCACGTGCAGAAAGTGATACAGCCCTGCTGAGGTAACCCAGGCCAGCGCCTTGTCTTCCTCATGTGCAGTAATCAGTACACGGGGAACCAGAAGGAAATGGCTCACAGGACAAGAGGCAGGTAAGGACCCACCAGCCAGGAAGTCCACAAATGCAGCAGTGCAGGCTGGAAACAGGCAACTGCAGAAGCAGGGCCTGTCAGCTCTGACATCATCCCATGCAGTTGTCAAATTCCTTTCCCCAGTTAGACAGTACAACAGTTCTAAGATTTCCCATCAGCCCCCCTGAGCAGTGGCTGAGAACTCCCAGAGCATGGGGAGGGGAAGTAACAGGCCACAGGCAAGGGAAAGGTGTCCAGCTGTAGTGATGGGAACAGAATACATGGCACAGCTTTACAGCTATAGCTGTGGTCAGCTGGACAAAGAACCCAAAGACCCCCAATTCCCAAACCGTGGAACCAGGGAAAGTTTCTTCACCCAGGAAGAGACTTTGCAGTAAGGATTATGGATCTTAAGATGAAATGTCTTGCATTATTCAAATGGTCACTAAATGTAATCACATACAGTCTTATAGAAGAGGGGTATTCACTGGAAGACAGGCAAGAAGGAATTAATTCAGAGAAGTGAGTTCTCTAGATCAAAGGACTGTGGCCAGCCATGATACCTGTAATCACAGCCCTGGGGAAGCTGTGGAAGAAAGCTCTCTGTTTCAAGACTGGCTGAGATGCAAACAGAGAGGAAGAGGGGGTGAGGGAGGAATCAGAACCCTGAGATTTGAACTGAGAATTGCAAAGGAATGCAAACTGGTTGTGACAGTGTAACAATCCAGGGCACAGCAGGGGGACCACACAGAACCCCCAGAGACCAAGAACTGTGCAGACACATCTGACCTTCTACCAGGCTTACTTTAGTGATTTCCCAGGATTGAATTATCTCCGGGGAGCGTCCTCTCCCTGCAGAAACAGGACTAGGACTGCCTTGTTCAAGGTCTCCCTGCCATCCCACTGTGGTTTAGCACCAGGCACTCACTCCTGTTGTGGCCAAGCACGTGTCTAGCTAAAATAACTTTGGGTTTCAATCCCACCTTCATGGGGATTTGCAAGACTCCATCCAAACACCAGGTTTCTTCCTTCCTTCCCTGCTATCTCTCTGCAGTATTATCACTTGAGTTTTCCTCTACATGAGCTGCAAATTGTAGGAAGTATTTTGTTACTAATCCAATATTCTTCAGGCCTTTTGGACTACTGCACTTGACCTGAGAACTTTAATATTTAACATTCCTAGAAGGAGTGTAAATAGTGCTGAATTCTTTTGTGCCTTTTAAATCATCTTATTTGCCTCATTTAAATTTATTTATGGACTCAAGCCTTTGTATTAAAAAAAATCCAATTAATGGTATTTTTTTCTTGTTGGTGCACAAAACTGTCCTTATGTGGCTAGTGAGAATCTCTTTATACTGGTTACTTGACCCTGAGCTCTTGGTCTCAAACATCCTGACTCCACAGTAAGAAGAGAATATTATGGTGATCAAGGGCATAGTATGGATCCTCTCCTGGTTTCTTTCAGGAGAGAATTTGTGAAGCACTAACTCTGAGTGCTTGAAGAAGAGACTGAGTTTTGGTGCCAATTTAAAATACAGTGGTTGGGCTGGAGAAATGGTTCAGTGGATAGAGGGCCTGCCATGCAAGTGTGAGGACTTGAGTTTGAAGCCTCAGCACCCATGTATGACCAGACAAGGTGGCACATACCTACAGTTCCAATCCTGTGAGATGGGAGGTGGAGACAGGAGAATGTCTGGAAGCTCATAGGCCAAAAGCCTAGCAAATGCAGAGGCAAACTATGAGACCCTATCTCAACAAGGTGAAAGGCATGGACCCATAGCTGAGGTTGACCTTCAACTTCCACAGGAAGGCAAGACATGTGTGTCTACACCAACACAAGATAAGTGTATACACATGCACAAACACACACACACACACAAACTGCTATGGTTGGGTACATCAGTTGACAAGATTGGATAGAGGCTGTCTTTAAGGCCCCCATGGGTCATACTTTAAATTAGATCATCATTGCAAGTTCTCATACATTCTACTCTTCTGAGACCCACTGGCTCTTGGAGGCATTCATATCCATACTCACTACTCTTCTCTTTCATTATATGGATGCTTCATACCAACTAGAGTGTATGGAGCACATCAGTCAGAAGACTTCTAGACCCTTGCTCTATGAATACTATACAGTACATACCTCTTCATTTATATCATCTGTTCTAGGTCCAAACATATTGTTATGGTGATATTTTATTTGTGCTGAAATGTGATTTAATTTGTATGTTAATAAATAAAGTTGCCTGGGGGTCAGAGCTAATAGCAAGCCATAGCAGAAGCTGGGTGGTGGTGGTGGTGGTGGTGGTGGTGGTGGTGGTGGTGGTGGTGCACATCTTTAATCCCAGTCACATGACAGGCAGATCTCTGTGTGTTCAAGAATACAGCCAGCATGGAGACACATGCCTTTAATCTCAATACCAACCATAGAGACCTAGAGGTCTGTATAGGCAGGCAGTGAAAAGGAGGTCATGTGGTTGGGTTTACAACTAATGAGAAGGCAGAACAGAAAGTCAATAAAAAGACAGATAAATAGGAAGTAGGTCTCTTTCTCAGGGGAAGGACAGCAGTGGCAGCACAGGGTAAGAAAAAGGGTTTTAAGTCTCAGCTCTTAGCTACTGCTCTCTGACCTCTTGGGCTTTTAACTCTGCATTTGGCTCTGTGTTTCTTATTTAATAAGACTGTTACATCTACATATTGTTTCATTATTTATTCCCTTATTTCGATGCAGTGCACTGTCCAACTGTTTTCTGAGAAAGAATATAGCTATTCTGGTTTCTTCAACATCTGAAAATTGATTATCCTTCCATGTTACCGAGTCTGGCAGGGTCTAAAAAAGGTTACATGTGACTTTACATCCATAACTTTCAGTTATGGTACTGCTTCCCGGCTACCAGTTTTGCTGTTTGAAGGCGCGATGATAAGCTGATCCCAGATCCATCCACTACTGCCCCTTTCCAACCCCAGCTCTGAAAGCTTATAAACTTATTCTTATTTCTGATATTCAGAAATGCCCAATTTTGTGTCCCTCTCTGAGCTCCACTCACGTGTTTTGCTGGACTCTTGGAGGATTCTTTCAAACTAGCAATTCAAGAAAATTTCCTCTTCACTCTGGAAACAGTTTTGAAGGTACTGCTCATTTCTCATAGACTGACTCTGCCTCCCCTTCCGTATCACCTATTGGTCAGATGCTAAAACTCTTGAACTGACCTCATCCAGGACTTCACCAACGTGTGCTGCTGTGATAAAATACCCTGACAAAAGCAACTTCAGTGAGCATTTACTTTGGCTCATAGCTCCTCATACCTCCAGAGTTCAGGGGGAGATGAATGCTTGTGCATTCAACTAGCTTTCTACTTCTTATGCAGCCCAGAGAATGGTGCTGCCCACTTTTCTGGTTGGTTTTAAACCTCAGTTAATCTAATCAGGATAGTCCCTCAAAGACCTGGCCAAGACACTGACCTAATCAAGATAGTACCTCGCAGTACTAAGTGATTCCAGAACCTGTCAACTAGAAAGACATCACCAACTTCTCCAAGTCTAGACACACACAAAAACCAGCATTTGTATGGCGCTTTGAGGCCAGTGGCTACAGAGATGGCTGATGAGAACGGCAGCTAAGTGATGGGGTCAGATACGTGTACCTTTCACCAGCACAATGGCCCAGCA